GGCCCATTGAGTCCAACACTCTGTCACACAGTGGCCAAAAATACCAGATGCCATCAGGAGGTCCAGCAGTGGGGCCAGGACACTAGAAGCCCTCCCACTGTTGCCCCCCCAAGCACCAAGAATAAAGAGCATCCCTTGCCCCAGACCGAGAGTTCCTACCTTTACCTCGTGGCTAATAACACCCCAAACATAATAATACATAATAATGGAGAATGCTATGGCATGAGTTAGCTTGCTCTTGGTTGCCAGCAACACATCCTTACACTAAAGAATCTTTCCCACCTCCTTTGTGGCTGCCCATCCCAGTCTCAGCCTCCTTCTGATATCTTGGTTGCACTCTCCCTCTTGGTTGATGATGGAGCCACGGAATAGAAAATCTTGAACCATTTCCATTTTTTCGTCGTCAACCTTAAAGCTGAGAAATTCCTCAGTAGTCATTCTTTTGTCTTCTCGATGTTCTGCTGTAATCCTGCTTTGGCACTTTCTGCTTTCACTGCCAACACCAGCCTGTAACTACAGTGGGGCTATTGGGGGCTTTGCCCCCTTGCTTAAAGGACTAGCCCCACGAGATTATTTTTTGGAGAAGATTTTTTTGAGAAGAATTACACCCTCCACTTCATCTCAAAAGCATTTAAAAGGATCATTTAAATGCGAAGAAGAAGAGGAGGAGGAGGAGGAGATTGGATTTATACCCTGCCCTTCACTACCCAAAGATGTCTCAGAGCGACTTACAAACTCCTTCCCCTTCCCCTCCCCACAACAGACACCCTGGTAGGTGGGTGGGGCTGAGAGAGCTCTTGACAAAAACTGCTCTTTTTTCAAGAACAGCTCTGATCAGAACTATGGCTTGCCCAAGGTGATCCAGCCAGGTGCAAGTGGAGGAGCGGGGGACTCAAACCCAGTTCTCCCAGATAAGAATCTGCGCACTCCCAGGTTAGAGTCCGCACACTCAACCGGTTCTCCCAGATTAGAGTCTGCACACTCAACCAGTTCTCCCAGATAAGAGTCCGCACACTCAACCAGTTCTCCCAGATAAGAGTCCACACACTCAACCTCTACACCAAACTGGGGAAGTGGGGATGGCACGTGACCCTCTCCCTCCCTCCTGCAAAGTTTAAAGGCTCCTCCAGCTGATTGGCGGGCCACATGCCCTTTCCAATCAACTGACGGACCCTTTAAATCTTGCAGAAGGGAAGGCTACCAGCAGTCGAGCTTGGGGGTGGATTGGAACGGACATAAAAATAGTGGCAGCCCGACCAGCCCCACCAGAATTTTTTTTGCCCCACAAGCCGCAAAATCGTGGCCACGGGCCTGCTTCAACAGCAGTCATTTCAAGTCTTCACTATTTTCTGCCGGTCATGTGGTGTCATCTAGGTCTGCCCAAAGCTCCAGAGAGCACCCAAACCATTTTGTGTCCTGGCCATTGTTTCCAACAATCTGTAAATCGGTATGCCTACCTGCAGGGCTTTTTTTTCTGGGGGAATGCGCCAGAACGGTGTTCCAGAACCTCTTTGACAAAATTATTTTTAAAAAGGGTAAAAGTTCCTGCGTTTTCAGCATACAGACTGAAAACTTCATTTCCCTCTTGGGAGTTCCGGCACCTTTTTTTCAAAACAAGAAAAAAGGAGGAAAATAGCCCTGCCTACCTGAACTCTCTGTTAGCTCCCCGCGTTGCTTTGAACAGGATGACTTGGGGTGACAACTTCAAGCCTGGTTGTTCTGCTTTGTTTTTCTGAAGCACCAACGAAACCCGCACGGAGGAACGGCAACACAGGTGGGAGCGCAACGTTTTCCTATTAACGGAGCAATTATTTATTCAGCACAAATTGTTTGTGCCCATATGGCTGGGATTGTAAAAGAGAAAGATGAATATTTCATTGAGCCATTGCCTCGCTGTTTGCAGATTGTGGGCTTAATTTGTCTCTCGCATCGCGGCAGAAAGATCTCCGACTGCCGGAGAGCCTCTTATCTGCCTACAGACAAACGTAAACAAGAATTGTGCCTTCCAGTATAATTAACCTCATTTACCCGTCGTCTGCATCACCAGAAATCTAGATAAACAAAAACAAGAGTTACCTGAAATTCCATGGAGATGGAATAGAGGGAGCACAGATTCGGAAACAAACATCGAGTTGGAAGGGAACCCCAGGGTCATCTAGTCCAACCCCCGTACAACATAGGAAATTCACAACTACCTCCTCCCACACTCTCAGTGACCCCTGTTCCATGCCCAGAAGATGACCCCCCCAAAAAAACCCCTTTCAGGATCCGTGACCAAACTGGCCTGGAGAAAAATTGCTGCCTGACCCCAAAGTGGTGATTGGCATATCCCTGGCTGTGTAAGAAAGGGCCATGAGAACTAAGCACGGAGGCAACCCTTCCTGTCCTCCCTTCTCACGATCTGCCCAAGTTCACCGAATCCGCATTGCTGTCAGATGGCCATCTAGCCTCTGTTTGAAGACCTCCAGAGCCCACCACCTCCCGAGGAAGCCTGTTCCACT